GGGGGGGGGGGGGGGGGGATACCATGGGGGGGGGGTCGGTGAGCCGAGAGCCGGGATCATATATACATATATATATATATGTATACATATTGGATACATAGACAATGCGTATATACACAAGAATACACACACAAATAAAGGCATGGAAGAAGAAGTAAACAAGGAACCATGACCACAATACATGTTTATTCTATTTCCGTTCATGTTACAAGCATATAGACATACAGGTAGATAGATAGATACATACGATAAACTGTACTCCAGCTGATTCCAGCTATGCACGCATCTAGGCTTTGAACCGACGTTTGAGTTGGATGGTTCCAGTCTCAGTGACTGCCTTCTGGAGCAGGCCGAATTAGGGCTTTAGGGGTTTGGGGTTCATGGTTTAGGGTTTAGGGTTTCCGGCAGCCGAATTTTCAAGATCCCTAACACCCTGAACCCTGCAACTTCGGCACCTTGAACTCCAAACCATAAACTCAACCTTTTAGGGTTTAGGGTTTAGGGTTAATCCATCGACAACGATCTGGCCTGCCTCTGAACCTGCCTTGTCCATTAAGAGTGCCTTAGCATTCAGGGAATGCGGCTTTCTGTGTAGTTTCCCCGCGGCGAATAGAAGTGCACAAAACCTTGGAAAAAAGCACATACAGGAATCCTTTACGTAACCCTATATGAAGGACCCTGTATAAATCCGCAAAGACCCTTGGACCCTAAACCTTAACCCCTGCAGAACATGGGCCGCACCACCCTCAATAAGAAATCCGCCACCCCTAAGACCGAAACTCCGAACCGTATCAACACGAAACTCTGAACTACTCAGAGGAGGCGGAAGAGGCCGGCGATGAAACGAGGCTCAGAGATTGCTCGGAGGGATTCGGGTGGGAGCCAGGGTTGAATGAGCTAAGGTCCAGAGGTTTAGGGTTTAGGATTTAGAAGTTTGGACTTCAGGGTTTAGGGTTTAAGGTTTAGGGTTTAAATAGGAGTTTAGGAGTTTAGGGCTTGCGGCTTGAGGCTTAGAGCTCATGGCTCGGCAGTTTAGGAGTTTAAGGTTCAGGGCTTTCGGCTTTAGGTTCAGGCTTCAGAGGGCTTAGAGTTTATCTCCTTCCGGGTGTATGATTTTCCTAGAGTGTCTTAACATTTAACTTGGTTTTATGCGGCCTTTGTGGGACTGCATAAGCTCTAGAAGGATCGTGTAGGGTTATACTGGGCTTACAGGTGTCAGGCTTGTCACAATATAGGGGTGCCAAACTAGATACTTGGGACTATAAAAGAACACTAGCACTAACTTTTCAGACCTCCACATGCAATTGTAAGGCATGAGCTTATGGTCCAGGGTTTCAAGTTTGTGATGTAACGTTGAGGATTTAGTGCCAGGCGTTTCGGGTCTGAGTGTGATTCTCTTGAGGATCAGGATTCGGAAGTGGGGTTGCGACGTGAAGCTTGCAACCCCCAATTAGCCCCAATTAGCAGGGTTTAGGGTTTAGGGTTTAGGAACAAAGACTAAAGCCGAAACTTCTCAACGCATCGAAGAAGCAGTCACCGGGATCCTAGAGCCCAGCGTTGCTTCAAGGTCCTGTCTGTGAAACCTTTTCCCACAGACTTTAACAGCCCGAAAACCTCCCAAGCCCCAAACCCTTAAATCCAGAGCCCTGAACTCTAAACCTCAAACCCAAATCCCCTAAATTCAGAAACCTAAACCCCCGACCCTAAACCCAAACCCTAAACCCCCAACCAAAAAAACCCTAAACCCTACGCCCGAAGCCTTTAATCCTAAACCCTAAACCCTAAGCTGCCCACCGCAGACGGCAGACGCTGGCAGCATTGCTGGCCACCGAGGCGGGCGCTCCCACTGGAGTTATTTCAAGAGGGCTTAGGGGTTTAGGGTTTAGGGGTTTAGGGTTTAAGGTTTAGGGTTTAGGGTTAGGGGTTTGGGGTTTTAGGGTTTTAGGGTTTAGGGTTTAGGGTTTGGGGTTTAGGGCGCAGGGTTTATTAGGGTTTCGGATTTAGGGTTTAGGCTTTGGGCTGCCTTAGTTAAGTAAAGACAGTGGTGATGCTAGTAATGATAGTAACAATAATAACAGCAGGTATGATAATGTAATCTTAACCAATGATGTTGACAGCAACCATGATGACAATGATAGGGAAAGAACATGAATGTCCCTAGCCATTTAGATGTCTTTGCTTACTAGTAGCATTAGTAAGGGTCCCACGGTTGTTTTTGCATGTCTAGGCTGTTTTGGGTGTTCTTATCGTTCAGGACATGGGATGCAAACTTGATGCTTGCTTGGAACTGTCTAGGATTGCGTTGGACCTGCTTGAAAGGTCTGCGGACCGAACAATTGCAAGCCGGTTATACTATAGGGGCCTAAATAATTACCCATACTATTTTTAGGGCTCAAATAGCCCCCGCAGGTGG